TTTTATTTATGTCCAGAGTGGGCTTTTTGTAAACAGGGTACAGTTAGATTATTATTTTTTTAACCAATCTGACCATCTCTGCCTTTTATGAGGAGTGTTTAGACCACTTACCTTTAATATAACTACCAGTAATATAATAATTATCAGTTTAAATCCACCATCTTATGCGAATTTTCCATTTATCCCACTGTTCTTTGTTCTTTCTCCTTTTTTTCTCTCTTTATGATTCCCATTTCACCTCTACTAGTGGTTTATTAAACTTTTTTTAAAAGACAGGTTTACTGCACGTATCTTTAACATACCATATTCTACCTTTGAGTCAAATACTGCTTAAATCACATAGATTATAAGAACCATGAAACAGTACACTTTTAGCTCCTCCTTCCCATTCTTGTGCTTTCATTGTCATATATTTTATTTCTGCCCATGTTCTAAATCCCACAGTACATTATCACTATTTCTTGCTTTAGATAATCAGTAATCTTTTAAAGAGATCCCCCCAATATTTATTTATTTATTGTTATTAATTTTTTAAAAATTTACCCTTTTTGCCCCCTCTTCATTTCTTTGTGTAGATTCACATTTTCATCACCACTAATGGATTCCTCAGGTTTCTTGCTCTGGTCCATTTCTTTCTAGACACCTGATAGAGATCTATGGCAAATAGATTTGGATTCCCCTTGTGTCTAGAGCTTCCATGGATGCTAAACAGTTGTCCTAGCCCACTGTTGACCTTTAATAAAATTTAGTAAATTTTGTTGCTGTTCTTACCTTCATTTTTATTGGTCATCTGTTTCTTTTATGCTTTGCCAAAGTAAAAATAATTTGAGTCCTGTCTCTCCTCAGGGTGACTTGGGAATTTAGTGCAGTTTATTGTCTTGTAATTTTAGCTCTCTGATAGAGTAAAGTATTGGTATAGTTTTGCAAAATATCTGATTTTTTCTCACTGTTAGGGTGGGAAAGACATTCTCTTGTGGATTTCTACATCCTAAGCAGGACCTGACATAATGCAGAGGAATCTGGAAAATTCAAAGTGCAAATTGGCGAAGTCCTCTCTACATACAATGAAGTCCTTCGCCATAGAAACTCCTTTCAGCAAAGGGTATTTCCTACCTGTTATGTCATTTAGGCTTCAGTTGCAGGTAACAAAATTATAGGAGCTGTTTTGAACAGAACACCCGCAGAAGTGGTTCCACAGATGATTACCTTTGCCCCATATGGAAACTAAAAAGCTCCTGGGTTAACTTCTGCTCCAGGATCACCCTTCTTTAACCATGATTTTGAGATCAGGAGACCTCTAGCAGAGCCGTTGACTCTAGAAAGATTTACACCTCCTACTTCTGCTGCAGCAAAATGAATCCCTTGTGCACCATCTGCTCTATCCCTGCTTAATCACTTGTGAATTTTGGTCTTATTCACACACGTCTGATTGGCAGAAATAAATCACAGAGGATTCTTGGGGAGATAAAACGTTTAGATTTCTAGCCTTTGTGGTATAAGAAAGTGAACTAGAAGGAAGTCAAAAAGGATACTGAGCAAGTCATAGAGACAACAGAATCCATTTGAGTAAGCTAGTTGCAGGAGAAAGAAATTGTCTAAAGGGGTATTAGAAGGCCAACAGAGCTCCAGGAAGGCCAGGGATCCACGTTTTAATGCTTCACATCCAGAATTTGTGAAGCCAAGAGCAGTATCTAACCAGCAACGGCATCTCTGTCAGCAGGAACCCCACACAGCATCTGCTGCCTCTGCCTCCAGTCTTGCGTGACTCTGTTCTACCTTGACACTGTCAGTAAGTGCCACGTATCTGGGATCTAGTCTTAGAACACTCCACTTGTTACCAGTTTTTGTATTAGAGTGCTTTTGATTATAAGTGAGAAAAACTTAACCTCATATAGTTTAGAATAATGAATAGATGGTTTGGTTATATTAGTCAGGGTTCTTAGTTGCTAAGTACCAAATTCACTATATCTAATTTAAGCCAAAAAGCATATGGGATATTAGGTTCTCATAAAATCTTTGGGAAGACTAGAGAACCAGGTTTGGATGCTACACTTCCAGAAACAGTGGATAACCCTGTGCTCTCTGCTGCTTGGAATCCATGATGTCAAACATGGAGGTAGAAAGATCAACACAGATGCCCCAGAAAAGTATGGTATCTCAGCTCTGTTCTTGCCAAACTATCCAGTCTCCCCTCATGCAGCCTTATCCGCATGTTGCTCACTTATATCTAAATGTCACTCGTGTTTGTCAGCTTGGTTAAATCTGGCCCATTAGTCCAGATCCTTGTTCAGGAGTATCTGGGGAAAAGTGAAGGTCAGCTAGAAGTGGGTTGGAAATGGATATACAGTTTCTGCCACCACTTGCTTCTTTGACTGCTTAGCATCCATCCTTGCCTTCTGTAATGCTTCTTTTCCATACATCAACTTTTGAACAATAGTAATTATCCTTGAATCATTCGAATATATGGTACTGTTTCCTCCGATGGGGAGGCTTGATATCACAACATCTGTCTCTGGTTGATGCTATTTCCTCCTCTGGTTTTAGTCATAACCCTGTCTTTATAGCTTGTACTTTCTGCATTAAGTTATAAAGGTAAGAAAACCACCACCAACAGACCTTATATGAAAATAGAAAGGGAATTGGATACAGGAGGTAAATAATTACACTGGGCAAGGAAAGGAATAAAGATAGCTCCTTTAATTTTCCTTTCTCCATTTGCAGAACTCTTCTGAGGCCTTTGCTGTCATTCAAAATAGGACCCCTACCTGCCTTTCCCTTGGTATCTTGGTTGACCAGAGTTCTAGTGGGGTGACCTAAACCTTCATTTCTGAGGTTCTGAGCTCTGGGTTAGGAGCCATGTTCTGTGGCAATAAGTCTGTGTGTGATATTGCAGAAAAGGCATATCATATCTAGAACAATTGTGTATTCAATGAGAACAGATAGCTGTTATTCCAGGATGCTGAGTCTAATTGAACTGACATGTTACCAGGAATATGCCATGTTGGAGGCCCAGTGTCTGTGTTCCTTGCAGATTAGATACTTAGAGTAATCAGATCAGATTTGCTAAGAGGACATCCATGTGGTGACATAAATGTATAAACTGTCTCCTTACTTCTGTGTCCATTTTGTATAGGTGTCCTTTGAGCAATCTTTGAGTGGCTAGGGAAAGAGGCTGACTGATAGACATGAAGAAGAACCAGCTTATCCAGCCGATGAACGAGAAACCTCCTCTACAGAGGAGGCTTTGTGAGCGTGGGGGCTCAGATATACTCACGCTCAGGCCCACCCTCAGATGTCTGTCCCACAAACCTCTTTTCTAAACCTCATTGTTACAAGTCCTCTGATTCCTTTCAACTCCCCAATCGTTGTGACAAGTAAATAACCATCGTCCACGGATGGGCATGGATTAGCACCTCTCCTGCAACTCAAAGTAGAAAAGCAGATGTCCACTCAAACGTTCTGGCTTCCAGGAGGCTCTTCCTTCTTCACTGTGCTTCAGAATCACTCCTGCTCTGGGCTGAAATGCTGCAGCAGTATAATAACCATGGAGAGCCATCTGCCACATTCAGAGTTTTTCCTCCGCAATTGACATGTCTGTGGAACTTCCATGAGACCAGACTGAGGGCTGAGGGAGAAATGCCACTGCCTCAGGAGTAGAGACACTGAACCATGCCCCGTACTCCTCCTGGATGAGGAAGAGTGGTGGTCTGAGTACAGCTGAAGAGGATTTTGTGGCTTAGATGAAATCTGGCTCATGGGAGGCTCAGGTTACACCATTGCTTGGTTTTCTTTTCTCAGGCTTCCAGGTAAATTGCGTGTCACACAAAGAAGAATAGTTAGGAGATAAAGAGGTCTTAGCTTGCTTAAAACCCTAGGAGGCTGTTCGGTAACTGTCCTGTGAGGTTTTGCTGCGGTTGGCTCCTTTCACCATCCCTCACTTTCAGCTCCATTAGATTGCTTGTTAAATTGGAGAAAATTGTATTTGCTTTAACTGCAATCCAAATACCAGCTGTGACAATCTGTTCCTGTAAGGAGACCACATTAGTTGAAGTTGCCACCCAATTAAGCTTAAAATAATTGCCTTTTTCTAAACTCCATTTATTTTCTCTTCAGGCCAACCAGGTGAGTTAAATGCAGAGGTGATAGGAATGGCATAGATGCTGTCCTTGAGGGTCACAAAGAGACCCCCAGCTGCGCCACGGTCTGGGAAGTACTGCTTTAACTCTCTAACCCCAGTGGTACATTAGGGCAAGCTAGATGGGAGGCAGAGTGCCGAGTCATCTACCCATAAAATCTGCCACAGCAGCTAAAACTGAATGTCACCAGTCATTTTGTTTGAAGTTTTGATCTGCCCTGATTTGCATCTTGGATGACTAACAGATCTCCTGTTGCAGGGGAACATACTGAATATATTCTTTATTTGTGGGTCTCATATGTAGAGACTCATTTGTCCATTTTTGAATAATTATGGCAAACAGCAAAGGCAGGCTTCCTATTTTTCTAATATGAACTACACCCGGCTATGTTCTTTTTCAGAGATTTAGGTTTTCATTTTATTTACAACAAAATAGGTCTAAATAGAGCAGTTTTGAAAAGGATGAGAAATATGCCAGAGACCAAATGACATCTAGTTGTAGGTGGCATCTTTGCAAGTTAAAGAACTCAGGCCCAATCTATTTAAATATCATTTCTAAAAGTTGTACTTTAACCCCACCTATACTCTGAGAAAAACTTTTCTGAGTAACTCATGAAATATTATCAGTCATAAGGCTTATTGTTTTTAACAAAATGGAGTTGAGAGAGATGGAATGTGTTGTCTCTAGCTGAGAAGAACTTGTTTGGGGACCATTTACTAAGAAGTAATTTCAGTTTTCTCAAACATTTCTTTCAGAATGCATCTTCCATGTGGATATTTGCCTCATTATTGTAAAGAAGTGATTTTAAAGGAAAACAGTTTCTACAGTAGCTTGTTTTCATTATCATGTTAAATATTTTTTCAGCTCCCTTGGAAATCGTTGACTAGCATCATTGAATATTATTACATGTGGAAAACTACTGACAGATACGTGCAGCAGGTGAGTTTAATTTGTTTGCTTTATCCTTTCTAGACCATTTTAAACTACATGATTTCATATCTTTATTATTTTGAGATTTTAGTCTTAATATTTTCTTCAGAGTCCATTATGATAAATATTTTGAAAAGATGGCAGGGAAGGGTACCACTAGAGAGGTACTGTTTTCCTTGCAGGTGCCTGGTCCTTTATCTCTTTGTGAGTATTCTTGACGGGAATGACTTGAGATGTGTAAAAGAGCCTCTGAAACCTCCTCATGTGTGATATCTGTACACCCCTAAGTCTTTGATCTTAACTGTGGTAGTTGGTCTTTATCAGTTTGATACTTTGGTACTGTACATAAATTTTTCTCCAAAAATTTCTCTAAAAGCAGGGAATCACTAATTTTTTTTAATGCTTCCCAAATGTCCCAAATTGAGTAATCCTCTCAGTTACCTGTTTTGAGTAATATTACTTCTGTAGAAAGGTACAATTTCCTGAAGTGACCTTAGTCAGTACTTGTTTTTATATTCTTCTGGTCACATGTCAGAACTAGTAAAGAAAGGGGCAAATATATTTAACACAGACATTATTTTTCCAAAGTATGTGATTGGATGCTATAAATATACAATTGAAGGATCACTTTAAAAATTACCATAGTGAGTTGTTGAGACTGTGAATATTGAATAGATACCCATGGCTTGTTAGATTTCTAGCATCAACACCATATATAATTCAAAAAGTGTTTATTTCAAACATCTTAGGTAGCTGTGAAGACCATGTGCTCAGGGAGCCTGGGTAATTCAGAGTAAAACGATTTCCTGCAGATGGTGGAGATGATGGCATTATGGATGGTTGAAATGTGTTTGGAGAAAATTATTTCCAAATATTCCAGTTCCTTCTTTAAAAGTTTTGTATCCTTAAATATTTCTGTTTCCTTCTCATTGAGAAAATGAAGGATTGCATTATATGCTTTCTATTCTGATCTGTCTTAATTTTGGATGTCTACCATACTTATTTTTCTTCCCTATTTGCATTTGTTATTATGTTGCTCAATCTCTGGACTTGATCATATAATAAAAATTTTCCCCATTCCTTTCCTTGCATTTGGCTCTTAATTGGTTCCTAAAAATGTGACATGAGTTCAGCCAAGCTTTAAAGTACACCGACTATCTCCCAGCACTTGAGGGTAGATGCTTGTTTAATTGGACTTAGATTAGTTAGTCTCTTTCTTTTGCATGGACTTTGGAAACTAATCATCTGAATGATTTTCTAAAAGCAAAGATTATTTGTGTTTTTTTCCTCCCAGAAAGGTAGAAAAGAAACAAAATAGAAACAAAATTTGAAAAGTAAAAATGGTTACTTTATCTGTTCATCCATTCATGGAAGAATGGATAATAGAGTTGTTCATTATTTTACTTTTTAAATTTATGTCTAAAATGTTGTTAATACTTGGGAGTTCTGTACCTCAGAATTTTTAGTATCTTTTCTTTCAAATTACTGCACTTTAAGAATATACACATGAAAGAAAAGCTCATCTTAAAAGGCAATTTTTGAATTGTGCTTTAGTATTTTATTTTCTTGTGGATTTTTAAAACGAATTAGTAATAATTACTAGACATTGTGTGTAAAATATTTTATCTGTCTTTTGAATTAGAAACGTCTAAAAGCAGCAGAAGCTGAGAGTAAACTGAAACAAGTGTATATCCCAACTTAGTAAGTAATGGAAATCTTTTAAATTTTTTGCCTTGGAATTAATTCTGTCAGAAACAAAATATGTACATTTGGTCAGTTTCAGCCAAATTTGAATTTCTTTATGTACCTTATTTTCTTCCACTATAAAACACAGTTTGCTTTCCATTATAATGCCACTACAATGATTTTTTAGAAAGAAAAATGGTTAGTGGGAGTATCCCCAAGTAGACTAACAAAAGGACAAGAAGAAAAAACCATGTACCATATTTATATCAAAGCTGCAGGGAAAGTGTTAGAAAACTAACCTATGAAACTATTATTTGAAGCAAATATGTTTCAGAAAGCTAACATCTTTTGAAACTTCTATATTGTATAATGTATTTTGTTGGGTTAGTGTGCATTGCTCTTTTGAGGTATGTTGTTTATTTGATTGAGGATTTTACATTATTTGCTTGGGAAAGGTCAGGGAAAGCAATTAGAACCAAACTTTGTAAATATTGGTTAAGTAATAAACAGACTTCGATTGTTTCAGATGCCTAGCATTCTATCATTATTATCCTTTGAGGTTAGAAATCATTGTCATATCAAGATGAATGCCAGTTTTCTTTTCATTAAATCAATTATCTTTGTTTGAGGTCTTTAGATTTTGACAGTTCACTTGTTCAAGAAAATTTAGTTTATTGAGCACAATGTATGTAGTGCTATCCTAGGTTCTTTGCTGATTAAAATGAAATTTACTACAGAGTTCTGTGTATTGATTCAAGATTTTTCCCCTTTTGAGCTCAGTACACTTGTTTTATACCTAGCCTTTTGATTGCTAAATTTTGATACAGTAATACATATTTTTATACGTAGGAGTCTCATGGACAATGAATTGTGGTATTTCTTACGAATCGTTTATCTCAAGGCAGAAAACATGTAATTTACACAGTCCATAATTTTTATTCAGAGCTGTAATGTCCCTTCTGCAGAGTGGTTTCTAGTATTTTAGTAAATTACGTAATTTATTTGACTAATTTTTGAAAGAACAACCCTCCAAAGAAAAAATTGTTGTGGAAGTAGGGGAAGTATATAGTTCAGTGGTAGAGTGTGTGCTTGGTGTGCACGAGGTCCTGGGTTCCATCCTGGTGCCTCTGTTAAGGGGGGGAAAATCTGTCGTGATTTCTGTGTCTTAGATTTTCAAAAGCACACCAGCTTTCTTATACTTTGCAGGTCTGTCACATCAAAGGAAAGGTACATTTGACCAGTTTTCACCAAGTAACCCAGATAATTATTTCTATTCTGTTTTACATTGACTTTTGGAGTCTTGATCTAAGTCAAGGACCAGTGTGCAGACCAAATCTGACCTGCCACCAGATTTTATAAATGAAGTGTTATTGGAACACAGCCATGTTCATCCATTTATGTACTAAGTCTCCTTTTGTGCTACAATGGCAGCATTCAGTGGTTGTGACTGAAATTATAATACCCACAAAGCTTAAAATATTTACTCTGCCAACCCCTGATGAAAGTGAATGATTTTTAGAGATTGAGATGGAGTTTCTAATGATACTTTTTCTAAAGGTAATATAAATCATATATGTAAATAGAATATATGTAAATAGAAGTTATGAATCTGTATTGTTGAGTTGGATAAGAATCTGAGTTCTTTGAAGAATTAATTCTGAAACATTATTTTAAGACAAATAATAGATTAAGAATTGTTTTATACTGTCACTCTTTCGAGTCTGCAGTCTCCTGTATGCAAGCACTCTGTTCAGTACTGTTCAGTTAAGAAGACAGGTTGTCTTTCTGGAGCCTACATTCTATTGTGGGGGAGACAAGCCAAACAGCTAGTCACCCAGTGTGGTGAGTACTGTGTTGGAGAGGAATAGCTTTTGTGAGTGCATATGCTAGGAGACCACTCTCAGTTGATGCTGTCAGGAAAGATTCCTTGAGGAGGTGAGTTTGCGTGAACTCTGGACGAGGAGGAAGAGGAGGAATTAACCATGTGATAGAGGCTTTCCAGGCCAAAGGGATCATGAGATGGGAAGGGACAGAACATAGTTAAGGAGCTGAGAGAAAGGCAGTGGGGCTGGTGTGAAGAGAGAGTGGTGAGCCATGGGAGGCCAGTATGGTAGGTAAGGGCCAGGAGTTACTCATCTGATGAACAGCGGAAATGGATTTTAAACAAGGAAGTGTCATGATCAAGTTTGTATATACTTTATGATCACTGGCTGTATTTTAGAAAGTGGTATGGGGGAGGGGAGAGTGGCTGTAAGGAGGCCAACAATGAAGTTCTTGGAGAGGAAAGTTGGACCTAGAGCTGTGGCCTGGAAATGGTGTGCTGCTTAGAGGTGACTGACTTGTATGGAGGGATAGAGGGGAGATGTCAAGTTGAGTCCCAGGTTTCTGGCTAGCACAGCTAGGGGAATTGCTTTGCTGGTCACCAAAAGAGGTGTTGAATATGCTGTTGGATATATTGGTCTTAAACTCGGGAAAGTTATGGGCTAGAGGTACAGATTTGAGCTTCATCCACATATAATATTGTGCTTAAAACTATGGATGAGATTTCTTAGGAAGTAATGAGGAAAAAGGCTTTGGACCAAACTTGAGTATTTCTTGGACCAAATCTAGTATTTCTGTATCAGGTAGAGTATAGTAACCAGGTGAGTACATTATCACACAAGTTGAGGGAGAAGTATGTTTCCAGGAGGGAAAGAGGTTAACAGCATCAAATGCTAGTGAAAACTAGCCAGGGAATTTAGCAACATAGAGGTCGTCGGTGATCTTCAGTGTAGTGCTGAGGACTGCAGACAGTGAAGGTTGGAAACTCAAGATAACTGGCCAGAAAAGGCAGCCGAGGGAGAGTTCTTGGCTTTGAGGGGTGAGTTGGGATACAGTAATGAAAGTTTTTTAAATAGGAGAAATATGTTTACAAGTTAATGAGGAGGGTCCAAGAAAGAGAATCAGTGTACAAAGTTCTCAAGAGGGCAGAAGGGGTGGAATCTGGAGCACAGACGAAGAGAGGAAAAGTTTGGGCATTAGCTAAAGGAAGGGCAGTTTCATATAATGCAGCTTTAAAAGTTTTTTTTAAATATATTTATCTTACAGTCAAAGTTTATTCAGATGGTCACATTGACATCAGCCATTTGTCCCCTGAGAATTAATCTGTAGGTACCTGGTTTTACAAAACATTTTAAGTGGTTCACATGTCTACATTCAGTCTTTGCACGCTCATTTTCCTTTTGTGATGATTAGAATTAAGGTCAGTGTTTTATTCAGTCGAACAACATTCTAGATTCAATTGAATAACTAAAGTCATGTTTACTCTCATTCTTTTTTTCAGGCAGC